CACCACCCAGAGCCAGCAGTAAACTCAAAATCATGGTCAGGTCCAGCCCTTTCTCTCAACATTGCAAGTGACATTTTGGTTCTAGTTGTGACCATCATGGTGCTGAAAGGGACACCCTTCTGTGTCTGGGCTTCAATCCACATCCTTATTAGTTTCTTCATGCCTCACACAGGCCCTTCTCGAATTCCACTGGTCTCATTGCCTTCAAGGAAGCAAACCCTGTAGCAGCTCCCATCACTTTGTTCTTGTTCTTCTGTAGGGTATGGCTGTAGGGTATGGTGCAATGGGACTTGCCCAACTGGCGAGTTATAACCATCTCTGATTTTCTACCTTCATAGTCCTTAATCCCTCTTAATTTCATTTCCATGTCAATCCCCCAATGTGGCCTCTCACTGGCAACATTAGCAGTGGGTTTTGTATGCCCTGGGATCATGCTGAACACAAGATTAAACTGAGCATGAACACAAAGAAAATAATACAATCCAGACACTCAGTAAACACAAGATGTATGAGGCTGCTGCCGGCGTAACACACTATACTGTGTTACAGAAAACTTTCTTAGTAGAAAGAGTACACTGTAAAATAACATAGGAAGTAAATATATAAACCAGTAACATACACATTTATTATCAAGTATTTTGTAGTATATTTAAAGGTACACGCTGTACTTTTATACAATTGGCAACGCAGGTTTACACCAACATCATCATAAACACATGAGTAATACATTGCACTTTGATATTATGATGGCAGTGACATCACTAGGTGGTAGGAATTTTTCAGCTCCATCATAATCTAATGGGAACACCATTGTAAATGCAGTTTGTCTTTGACTGAAACGTTGTTACAAGGTGTATGACTGTATATTTTCCTACGTTTTTAAAATCATGTACAGTGGTTGAAGCAAAAATTGTAACACTGATGTGGTTCTAATGTATATAGAGGAAATATTTAAGACGATTATATTATAAACAGGAGAAGGCAAAGGAATGTGAAAGCAGGTTTCTACACTTGAACTGATAAAATATTGACACCATTATTAGACTGTAATAAGCTATGCATATATAAAGTAATACCCTGGAGCAAAGATTTAAAAAGTTGTAAGGAGATACACTCAAAACCCATGAATATGTACAGAATAATATAATTATAAAGTGAAAATAAAAACACTATAGATAAAAAACAGAATTCCAGCAAAAATGTTCAATCCACAAAAAGCAAGAAAAGTAAAACAGAAGAACAAGAAATAGAAAAGAAAAATGGCAGATTTAAGTCTTAACATCAATAACTACATTCACTGTAAATTATCTAAATACACCAATTAAAAGACAAATAGGCAGTATGGATTAGAAAGTATGACCCAACTGAATGCTGTCTACAAGAAACTCACTTAAATACAAAGGTATGTCTGGAAAAAGTCCAACCATTGTTAACATAACAAGAACAGTTTGTGTGACATCAATGTAACCTGGCAGGCAAGGAGAGAGGGCTGGAATGCGCATGTGTGAACAATGACAACTTCACTGTACTAGTCAGTGGGGGTGGTAGATGTCATTGAGTGAGCATGTATACTGTGTGGCCATCACATTCAAAATGACTGAGCAAGTAGAGCAATGAATCTGCATCATATTTTGCATTAAGCTTGAACATTTCTCCAGAAAAACTACTCAGATAATTCAGACGGTCACAACTTTGGGCAACTGGTGACTGGCAACTTCATCACAATGCGCTGCTCATGCATCTCATCTCGTGCAGTGTTTTGGCAAAACATCAGTTCACCCAGGTGACTCAGCTTCCCTACATCCCAGATTTGACACCCTGTCAATTTGTGGCTTTTCCCAAAATTAAAATCACCTTTGAAAAAGAAGAGATCTCAGGCTGTTGATGAGATACAGGAAAATATGAACTGTGTGAGGTTTCAAGGTGCCTACTTTGAAGGGGACTGAGGCATCATTGTCCTATGAACAATGTTTCTTGTATCTTCTTCAATAAACGTCTCTACTTTCCACATTGCATGGCTGGATACCTTCTGGACAGACCTTGTGTAACTATCTATTGACTCAGGGCCCACAGGAAACTGCTCACACGGCCATTGTGAGTTGGTCCCACTTCTACAGATGGCAGTGCCTTGAGTGGGGAAAGAAGCCCTCACCAGCACCGGTGCCATTCACACTAAATCAATCTTGAAATTTTGTTAAAATGAATATTAGTTTAGATGGAGCTAAACTGACACTTCTCCTATTCACTGTAGTTCACAGCAGAGCTAACCCACCCGAAAACAAAATGAAAATCCTATTTTATTGAAAATCCTATCCAAAAACAAGAGAAAAAAAGAAAACAGTCAAGATGATTTATAACTGTGGAATGTGGCAAGGTTTTTTTTGGAAGAATGCTAACTTGCAGTGTGGCTTATGGGCATCTAGTTTAAGCTCTTCTTCTATTCTGTTGTTTTTGAAGAGGGGAAAAGAGAAGGAAAAAAAAGGAAACCAAGAAAAACGCCTTTCCCCCTTGTTCTAGTAAAAGACAGTGAAAAATAAAGCAGAAGGGGTCAACTAAAATCTGATTGCTGCTCCAGAATACCCCACTTTAGACACAGTACTTTTTAAAGAACAGATTTATTAAAAAAAGGATCAAGTGGGCCCTGGCTGGTGTAGCTCAGTGGATTGAACACAGGCCTGCGAACCAAAGGGTTTCCAGTTCAATTCCCAGTCAGGGCACATGCCTGGGTTGTGGGCCATCCGCAGCGAGGGGTGCGTGAGAGGCAACCACACACTGATGTTTCTCTCCCTCTCTTTCTCCCTCTGTTCCCCTCTCTAAAAATAAATAAATAAATAAATAAATAAATAAATAAATAATCAAGTGGAGAGTGACTACCCACTTCTCAAAGATTTTATTTTTAATAAAAGTGAGTTATGAGAGCATTTCCCTTAAAAGTCACCTCCTCAGTGGCAGACACCCTTCAGATTCACACACAGACGGAAACTGAGTGTGTGCTGAAGAGGGCTGATCCTCTGGTTTGAGTGAGTAACCGTCTGTGGGTCCACACCTCGCATCCTGCTTCAAAATTGCTCCCTGTGGATCTAAATATAAGAAATGAAAATGCAAAAATAGTGAAAGAAATCATGAGAAAATGTTTTTATAGTTTTTTGAAGTGGACAAATAGTATAGAGAAGTAAAATAAAGGATAAACAACTGATATTTATATACATGAAAAGATGTTGAAATTCATCCATAAAATAAAGGCAAATGTAACCATACTGAGGAGTGAAAGTTCATAAATCCTGTTACACTACCCTGTAAATCCTTATAAATATGGGCAAAATTATTATATGGGTTCTTCGCAGACTATTATGTGGGATTATAGCCTAAACAAATTTATTTGTTTACTAAAGGAAAGGGTGACTTCAAAAGGCTGGAGAGCTTAGGAACATTTTGATTACAATTGCAAAATAAGAAAGATAACGTATACCCACTGAATTAAAATAATGTTTATAGAATAAAAGTTATTATTTTTCTAATTGATCTTCTAAACACTGTATTACTAAGTTAAGATACAGACTAAAAACAGTATATAGAATATACCAGTTTTGTATATCCCATATATTCTGAGAAAAAAGTGGGAAGGACAGACCAAAGTGTTAATAGTGGCTATCTCTTACCTGGTAAATAAATTATGGTTGATTTAAAAAACACTCTTCTTGGACTCATAGACAAGGACAACACTGTGGTAATTTTGCGGGGGAGGGAGGCATAAGGGGACTAAATGGTAATAGAAAAAAATACAATAAAAAATGTTTATCCTTTATACTTCTGCATTTCCCCCAATATCTCTATAAAAAGCACATGTAAATTACTTATGTAAAAATAAACACTTTAATTTTAAAACGTTATCTCTCAGTGTATATCATCATTCCCCCAAACCAAGACTCACACAGATCTAGTCCCAACAGCCACGTGGAACAGCTTACAAGAAAGGGGTAGAGGAGGTGTCTTTAACGTGAGTGAGAACTTTCTCAGCATATTAGTCCACTTAGAGATTAACATAGGATAAAACCATTGCAACAAAAAACAAATACAGAATATAATGAAATAGTTTCTCAAACCATGAATGATGAGTTCCTAAAGGATCTTTGGAGAACCCATAAAAGATCTTATAGTTTTAAAAATCTCTTGAACCTGCTCTCTGGAAAATTCAATCTATAGGCCTGTGTTTAAACACACAGAATATTACTATATAATTAAGCAGCTGGGAAGGTTGTGATTACAAATAAGAGGGAAAACACACTACACCAAGGCAGGACTGTTTCATGAGAAAAGGTGACTCACATGAAAATGGTATTTGTACAAGATAATAAAAACGTAACTCACAGCCTTAACAACTAAAGTCATTCATTCTGTCTCATATCTGATTCAAAAGGTACCACTATCTAAAGGTGTGATTACACTAGAAAAATGCAACTATCAATGAGCATATATACACAAAATATGTCACGGAACATTTTTGAGGTATTTATTTTCAAATTTCATGCCATTCCTAAAACCCAAACATCTTAATGTGCCTATGATTTATCTACCTTTTCAGCACCATTTTTCCTTCCTCGCATCCTACTTTTCAATCATACCTGATAACCTAGTTTTTTTCTTCATTATTTTCTTGGGATATAGTTGACATTATGCACTAAGTTGAAGGCGTACAGCATGTCTTGACGTTACATTTATTGTGGAATGATTAACATCAAGTTAACAACCACCACACCTTTCACGCACACTTCCAGTTCATCAGCCCAACCCCACTCCCATCTCCCGAGAGCCCACCACCCCACCTGACACTGCAGCAGGTTCATTCAGACCACAGAGATTTACAGAACAGCATCAGGCTCTACCTGGAAATACAAAGAACAAAATGCTGTCTTGCAAAGAACTTGCTGAGGTGAGGGACAAACATATAAACAGTAGTTGAAATACTATTTGGGGGAGAAAACATGTACTTGACTACAGAATGAGTTACATACTCAATAATTTATTGTGCCGAATACCATTCATTGTTTTTGAACAAATTCTTTCATCTGGTACATACAGATTTGGTGAGAAAATTCATGTCCATTGAAGGGTCCTAATTTTTAAGAAATAACTTTCCAGTTATCCAAGAAATGTATGTCCATTATAGGAAAAAGCAGGTAGAGTGGCGTCCAAGTCCTTTATTTAACCCAGTCTCACAGTCACTCCACTCCCCCAACTCCTCTCCCGTTCCTCCAACCCACTCCCAACATCCATCCTAGTTCTGGGAGCGGGTGGTTTTGTGCTCAGTAAGATGTTTTGTTTTCAGTAACGATCTGCATAATGTTTACAACTCTGTGGCTCTTTCTACATAAAGCAATCGATTAGGTATCTGCAGACACATCCTATTTGTGAGCTAAAACAAATCCAAGGGCACCTAGAGATTTGCCGAACAGGCAAAATATAAATACCCAGGTCTTTTATCTTAATTCATAATGTTTCACTAGGCCAGGGGATGTGGCCACTTTATAATCACAAACTTCCCTAAGAACTCTGAACATTACTATATTCTGTTCCTTTTACTTTAGAGCCAAAAAATTAACTCTTGACACAGGCTCTCCATTCTGCTTCTGGTCGCAGTGCCCCCTCAGCCAGGGTCTCCCATCTACACCCCCTTCCCCAAACCCTGGCTCCTACCCAACCTTCCTGCCGCCCCTCACATGCCAGCTCCCCTGGGAAACCTTTGTCCTCCAAAGTGGTAGCGTTCCCCTCCCGAGTATACCACCCGGTGACCAGGTCTTAGTATCAGCTTCCTTTGCCTATTTCTCTCTCATCTGATTTATAGTTGGAATTTATGCAATAACCATACTTTCCTAAAATTTATGTGGCAATTTTTTCTGAAAAAAGTTGTACCCTTGAAGTTTTTAACTTGGCAATTTATTTTACAATCTCAAGAATGGTAATACATGGGTTGTGAGCTTTGGCATTAAAGTAATGTGGGTTTGGCATCCAGGTTTAGTTCTGATGGCTGTGTGACCTTGAACTTAACATCTCTGAGGCAGTTTTATCGTTTGGAAAATAAAGGCCTACTTTGTTGTCGAGATTAATGCATAATAGTACAGAGCACACCATGAGTCCAAATTCATGCTCAGCAAACATTAGCACTAATTTCAACAAAAGGAGAGATTTAACCAAAAGGAGATTAAGAATATTCCTGGCTGATTGGGAACTACCGAAAACATATTTTGTAATAATGTGCAACTCGACCTACATTCAGATAAACCTGTAATTTATACTTAACATTTGTTATCTATTATGCTCCATATATTCAGCATTAAAATATATCTCAAATGTTTTGAAAATGTGTCTGACTCCTTTAAAAATGCTCTAATAAAAAACCCCAGAGATGTGAAAAATGAAAAAGAATGTTGGCACCATCTAAGAGAGTTTCTTTTATGCCAGGAAGTGAACAGTACAGTAAGTGTCTCTGAATAAGATCCCATCTTAATCTCTAGGAGACTGGAAACTTTAGTTCACTCAAATCTCTAAACATCAAATTTAAAATGGCTTAGAAAGTATTTTGAAATTATTTACTTAATAGTAAACTGGCTTCTGAGCCAGTAAAGAATCCAGTAATCCAACAGAGTTTAAACCCTTCTTTTTAAGGTGCTTAGTCAAGAACCAAGATGCTTAGCAGCTCACTGCTGCCAAATTTAACCTAGAAGACCCACAGACAATGCTAACACAGACTATCTCTAATGAACTCTTCAACCCTGGACTGTTCAGAATCCCAAGAGGAAATGTGTCCCATTTCCTTGTACTTGCCTGTTCAGATAAACTAAAAGGTTTTCTAAAGCCACAGAATTAAACAAGAGGCTATTCTTTCAGCATCAGTATCAACTAAGAATATACTAACATATATAAACACATTGCACAGTCATTCAATTATACATTAATCTCTACTTACTCTAAATCAGAGCCATTCTAGGTGTTGGGGGATTGTGAACCACAAGCAGCTCTCAGTTTAAGTTTTATTTTCCAAAAATAAAAACAAAAAACACATAGTATTTTAAGTCATCGCTACTTCACAATTGTAGTAGGCACTAATTCATAGCTGAAACCAAAGGCTTACGCTAAATAGCGGAACAGTATCCCAGCGGTGTGAGTGGGCAGGGGACAAGACCACAGAAAAGGCAGGAACAAGAAAACTGTGGCACAACCCCGGCCTTGGTAGTCAGAGACTCATTCAGAGTCCAGATTTGCCATTACCAGTATGCAAACAATTTTGTTTTTGCGATTACTGTGTATTTTATAATTTAAAATTTTAATTACCAAAAATTCTTTATTTCATAGTTTTAAAGATCAAATGAGAACATTTATGAAGTGTATATATAGGCCAAAGCTTATCAGTGGGAAGCTCAAACAGTATACTAGTTTTTAAAAATGTAATATCCCTTAATGAACGTTCAATACAACTTTGTTTACATTAATACAAACTTTGCAAACACGACTTTGTTCATGACCACAATAATGTGCAATGACAGGAGTGAAGCAGTGGCATTAGCAAAACAGTAAAAGCTTCAAATCAACCAGACATAAAGTCAAATTAGGGTTCCAGCTGTCTTACCTTAAGTGCTTTTATTATGTATAAGTTTTCGCAGGGTTGTAAAGACGACATGTCAGAGATATAAAACCCTCAACATAGTGACTGATACTCCTCAGGTATTAACTTCACCCTCTGGGACCCGTAATAAACTCATTCCGCAGCTGTACTGGACTCGTGAGTTCTAACTCTCTACCAGCGCAGCCAGCACTGCTTGAGCCCCTCCCCCTCCTTCTCCAAGGGTGAGAAAGGGAGGAGACATTTCTTCTCTCTGCCCCCTGGTGGTGAAGCAAGGTCTGCGGCCTTCGGCCCTAGGCGATGCTCCCTCCTGGGGCAGCGGCTTCACAGGGATGGTGTAGCATTCAGTGTCTGGGTGGTGGTGACAATGGCTGTGTCTGTGGGAGAATCTCACCAGTGTTCTGGCACCCAAGCCCCACAGTAATTTCTTATCAATTCTGAGAGCTAGTCACACCCACCCAATAAATTCGTTTTCTCCTTAAGTACACAGTACCTGCTGTTTATAAACAAGAACCCTAACTAATTTAACGCTAACTTTTGTAAAACTAAAAAAAGTAAGTTAATATCAGTGCTATGAAATTATTTTTAATATTTTCTTCTCCATGACCGAATATACAAAGATAATGGAAGTAATGTATCCTTCTGTTGTAAAGATGGGTGGAATATATCAAAATCTACTTGTTGAATTTTCTTTAAATAGTCCTCCAGAGCAACCTGGAAAAAAGAGAAGAATGGTCACAAAATCATCAAATGATTAAGTCTTTAAAAGAAGCTAAAAAAAATTACAAGTATTAAGGCTATTTTACTTTCATTAAGATGATGATCTACAAACCAAGAATTTAAATGAGAATTTTAAAAGGGATCGAGAAAAGAAATGTTCTAAGAAGTTTCCATTAGGCCAGTAGGACAGGATCACAGAGCTAGAAATATCCAGCCAATTCTAATCATCACTTTTACTGTTCTGGTCAAAATGTAAAAGACCAGAGAAACCGCTGTTTGCCGGGTTGCATTACTATACTCCGTAGAACGAAAAGGGATGTTTCAATCAGGGAGAATGAAGACCACCACAAGAGCGCTGTGCCATGAGAAGGGGCTCAAGCTGTTTGCTTAAAAATTACATTGTGGAAAAGTTTAATGGGTCTCCACGCTCTTGCTAGAAAATGATTTGCACCCAGGGAGAACAGTCACAGGTCCCTACAAACGTGACCCATGCTTCCCCCATCAAATAAAACTTAAAGCTATCACTGTGATGGGGTAGCTGGGTGGGAAAACACCGACAATGACGGTGTTCTTTGTTTTACAGTTTTCACTTATTTCTACTAATTTCTAAACTATGTTATTTCAATAACCTTATTAAACAGAGAAGCCACTTCGTTTTGCCCTGCGCAATTCTAAAGGCACCCCTCCCTCCTCAGTCTGTGTGCACAGCGCCCCCTAGAGCTCTGAGGTACAACCTGTGTGATCCAACAGTGATTGTGCCGGTGGATTCGTTCTCCAGAGTATTTGGAGGAGCAAAAAGAAAACAAAGAGGATTGGATTTTCTCCCAGATGAGTGTACATACAAACAAACTCTGTATCTACTTTTTAAACCCTAAACTTATATAACAGGAGATGTGTGCATGAATGTGCACAGCTGCCTTGTGTTATATTAGCAAAAAACCTACAAGTTCTTTGACAAAAAAAAAAAGATAAACTTCACACAATGAAATATTATGCTGAAGTGAAAAAAAATGCTCTATAGCTATAAGCAGTATGAATAAATCTTAGGAGTATGTGTATGTGTGAGAGACCTAGAAGACAAACAGAAAATGACCCATTTTTATAAAGCTCAAAAACAAAATTAGGCAACAAATTGTTTAGGAATACAGAAAATGGGGAGAAGTTTTTTTGAAATAAAAATAAAGGAATAATAAATACAAAATTAAGGAGAGCTATTTGGAGGAAGAAGGCAGAAGCAGTGCAATCCAATGGTAACGTTCTAGTTCCTGGATTGAGTAGTGAATTCATGGGTGTTCAGCACGAGTGTATATTATGCTTTATAATTCATGCATACATACACAGATTCATGTTCATGTGTAGATTTGATACATGTATTCATGTGTATCAAATATGAAACATGTCAAGAGAATGAAAGAAACAATGAAGATATTTTAGTGCACTTTCTTTTACATTTTAAAAAAAGGGATTGTGCTATTCATAATGTTCTGTAATCTGCTTTTTTATTATCACTTAATATATTGAGATTAACTTTCCATCTCTAAGAATTCCATTATGGTCATTTTATTAGTTTTATAATATCTAAGTATAAGGAATAGTTAATGAAATTAAGGTACAGGAACATAATAGGATATTACACAGCCATTAAATATTATATTTATAAATATTTTAATGACGTGGTTAAATGCTTGATAAGTAGAATATTGAGATATGAAGTGTGATTTTAACTATAGACAAAAATTCATTAAAAAACAACAAACAGAATAAATAAGCAGTTTTTGTCTCTGCATCCGGGAATTACAGGTGGTAGTTATTTTCTTCTAATATTCTTTTTATGTTGTCCAAATCTCTATCATAAGAATGTATGCCTTTTACAATTAGAAAATTCCATTAAAATACAGATGAAATGTGACCTCAAATTAGAGCTCAACCAGACATTTGCAAATTAGGATTTGGTTCAAAAGAAAGTTTGGCTAATGGTCAATACACTGTTCAATGTAACAAATTCATTGCAATCTCTCAAAGACATTACAATTTCTGAATATGGCATCTTAAAGCAGGCCCCATATGTAAAACAAATAAGAAGAGATGTGCCCAGCTGGAATGAAGCTGTGGACCGTAGCAGTCCCTCAGGAATTGCCATGCAGTCCCGCCAGTCTCCCCTGGCACAAGGTGGAAACTGAGAGCTGGGCTCCAGCCTAAGGCCTCAGTGAAGCCCCAGGTCTGCATTTCTTTCTTTCTTTTTTTTTTAAAGATTTTATTTATTTACTTTTAGAGAGAGGGGAAGGGAAGGAGAAGGGGAGAGAAACATCAATGTGTGATTGCCTCTCCCACGCCCCCTAGTGGGGACCTGGCCCACAACCCAGGCATGTGTCCCGACTGGGAATCAAACTGGTGACCTCTTTGGTTCGCAGGCCGGCACTCAATCCACTGAGTCACACTAGCTAGAGCCAAGGTCATTTCTAACAAGTTTCCAGGTAAGGCCCACATTACTGGTTCAGGAAAACTCGCACACTGTGAGAACCACTAGTCTAAGATAGTGGTTCTCAGGCCAGGCTGCACTTTACAATTACTGGTGGAGTTTTTGAAAAGTATCAATCTTTGGATTCAACCTCTTAGATAATTGTCTTAATTGGTTTGGGGAGGGGCCCAATATTGCTTTGTTTGTTTGTTTGTTTGTTTGTTTGTTTTAAAGCTTCCCAAGTAATTCTAATGGGCAACCAGAGTTAAGAACAACCCTTTTCACAGAAGTGAACAAAACAGACAAAAAGTCCATGACCTTCATGGAAGTTTAACTTAAAAAGTTAGTTAAGCCCTGGCTAGCATAGCTCAGTGGATTGAGTGCAGGCTGCAAACCAAAGCATCGCAGGTTCAATTCCCAGTCAGGGCACATGCCTAGGTTGCAGGCCATGGCCCCCAGCAACCACACATAGATGTTTCTCTTTCTCTTTCTCTCTCTCTCTCTCTCTCTCTCTCTCTCTCTCTCTCTCTCTCTCTCTCTCTCTCTCTTCCTCCCTCCCTTCCCTCTCTAAAAATAAATAAATAAAATCTTAAAAAAAAAAAAAAGAAAGAAAGAAAGAAAAGAAGACTGGCTTCTTTAAAAAAAAAAGAGTAAGTTAAAAACAGGTTCTGCTATGGTTTGTGTGGTTCAGTGGATTGAGTGCCAGCCTGCAAACCAAAGAGTCGCCAGTTCGATTCCCAGTCAGGGCACATACCTGGGTTGCAGGCCAGGTCCCCAACGGGGTTCACACGAGAGGCAACCACACACTGTTTCTTTCCCTCTCTTTAATAATAATCCTACAAGAGAGTTTCTCATACAATTCCCATTTTTCCTATGAGTATACTGAGGAACATGGCGTTTAAGGACCTTAAACTCTCATGGCCAGTAAGTGGCAAAGCAGACCCAAACTGATGCAATCTGGCTGCCGTCACTGCTACTGCCTCCTCCACTCAACTTGCCTCTGGGAAATACAGGCATGACCGTCACCAAAAATAGAACACAACTAACAAAGCTCACCATGAGGAAGAGAAACAAAAACAAAGCCTCTAAAGTAAAAAATTGCATTGGGAACCTCATAAAACAGAAAAAGAGATCAAATACATCTGCTTCATTAATTAAATGGCCTTCTCTGTTAATCTACTTACCGTCTGAAGAAAAGCAGGAAATGCTTTCACAGGAACACTTTTGTGGAAGGACCTAGCCTAAAAATGAAGACAAAGGGAAACTGGCTTGAAATATAAATTATTTCAAGGGCCTCTCTCAAAAGCAAGAAAATAGCTCTCGTCTCCTGCACATTACAATTCATTTCTTAAGCCTAAGGACTCAGGAAATAGTACTGTATTAAGAACTCCATTCTTTGTTACAAATTGGCTTTAGCATTTTCCAGCTGCCTTTTAACATCTTATAACTTTGACCCTCTAGCTCTGTGGTTAAGGGTGAATGAAGAAATAAGTGGGTTAACAAGTCCCAGCACCTTCCTAGCTTAGGTCATCATTACCGCCTGTTTAATGATCGTCCTAGCTGGTCTTTCTGCCGCTGTGTTCCCCAACCTTTAATTTATTCCACACAACCAGCCAAATGAACATTCTTAAGTCATTGTTTTATTCTTATTTTCTTTGACTTACGTCCCTGACAGCTGGAGTCTCAACTATTTATTCATCTTGTATTTCAGAGGCCTCCACGCCTTGACTCTAACCTCACCTATCTAACACCTCCCTGCCACTCTGGATATGAAGCTGATGCCCCCAGGCCAATGCCCATCATCCTGGACTCACCAAGTCCACTCTGTTTCCAGGTTTTCATTTCTATTGTCAGATACCACCTCTGCGTCCTGACACACTTCTTAACACTACCCTCTGTTTTACCTTTGTCTGCTAACATTACTCTCTTCCAAATCACCCATGATTTACTAATCATCCTCCCTCTTTCCCTTCATCTCCCGTAACACGCACAATTTAACTATTCCCCCTTCGTGGAATTTGCTCCTCTCTTGGTTTCTAGCACAACGATTCTCAGCTTTTCTACTTCTTTGATCATGCTTTCCTTCTTCTTCTTCCTAATTAATGGCCTTTTCTCTTTGTACCTGGGACATGGAGTTAGGCCTCAAGATTCTGCCCTTGGTCCTCTTATCCAGGTGTACATTCTCCTTGGACAACACCATCCAATATTAGAGCTTTAACTACAGACTTCCAGGTGAACGGTTCCCAAATCTCTCTCTCCAGTTCTGACCTCCCATCAAAGTCATGATCCTGCATTCGTCAGTAGCCTGTCTCCCTGCATGCCTTCTAACCCTCTGGTATTCGATGATGTCCAGCAGCTAGTCTCAAATCCACTGACCAGCTCCCAGGGTACCATTTCTTACAGTCTCTGAATGGCACCATCACGGTCTCTACCTGAACTCTGTGCAGCCTTCAAATTTCCCTCTTCCTGATTCTGCCACAGTCCAATCAGTTATCAAACCTAGTTGATTCTACCCCTGTTGTGTGTGTGTATACACACATGTACAAACATCTACCCTCTCCTAAATCAGACACTCTTTAAATGTGGCAGAAGGAGATTATTTACTAGTGATTATTATTAGAGTAGGCAGGATGGAAGCCAAATTACAGCATGACAAACAGTGTCAGGGTGGTGAGGGCCTCGAGGTAACAATGAATACACACCACTTACTTATTCAAAAAAGCTTAATTGTGAGGGAAAAATAAACTGAAGGGTCCACAGGCTGCCTGTAACTTCAGAAGGCAGCGCCAACAAACGAGAAGCTAAAAGAAGCAAGTTGTCGGAGAGGCCGACTGAAAACACCAGTTAAGACTGCTGGGGATGCAAGGTCCTGGAAAGGTGGGAGAGGCCTCAGCCTTGCCAGGCAGAAAGACCCTGTCCCCCAAGAGAGAAATAGGGAGTGGCCGGATTAGAGAGGAGCCTATCTGAGGAAGCTCAGGCTTGAGTGACTCACTGAAGGGTGGATACATCTGCTGAGAGGGAGAAAGGGGGATTTTTTAGAAGCTGAGAAAGTGTACAATAGTCCCTGAGGTAAATCCACTGTGATTTCAACGAGAGATGGAATTTGGACTGCGAAGCAGGTAACAGTATAACCATGCTATGCTCTGCTAGGCAGATACGATAGTTTCCTAAATGATTTGGGGGGAAAAAAAAAGGCTACTTACATGCTTTAGGTGCAAGTGTGCCTGGCTGGCAATGTCATATATCACATCTCTTACATTTTTATCTTGTTTCTTCCGTAGAAAATCCTCTTGTGAAACACCATGCTGTGTTGAAAAATACATTATATTAGCAATCAAAAAGCATACTTAAAACTAACTTAGCTCAAGAAAACAGGTGAGAGAACAGTATGTTTAGTATAATGCCTATTTTGTTTTAAAAAATATACATATGTGTACATATATGTGCATGTATGTCTGTGTCTATGCATAGACACACATGCATAAGGACACACTCTTTCCTGAAATAATATGCAACAAGATGGTAATTAACAACTGTTGTAGGTAAAAAAAAAAATACACAAGCAACAAAACAAATATATAAGAAGTTTAAAAGTACAGACACTAATGAATCTCATACAGAAAATAAAAGTTCTCATAAACAATGTTCTTAAGGATTACTTCCTCCTTTAAAATAAAAACAGGCTAACCTGACCATTAGGAATAATTACTGTAATTGCTTGGAAGGAAGGAAGGCATCAACATGAAGCTACGCCAAGTAAGGTTCTCCAGACTTTCTTACTCATAGCTCCACCAGACACCTAAAATGCCAGACTGATAAAAATTCTCACTCAATTACCAAGGAGCAAAAAGCAGTATGCATTCTTTTCAAAACAGTTACTTGACTAGACTAAGCAAGAACCAAGAAACAACATCTTTCCCATATTTCTGAGGCAAATTATTTAGAGCGTACAAATAGCAGCCTTACCAGCATACAAATATCCATGGGCAGAAACACCCTTCTTCTGCTGCCATGATACGGCGTGGCTCTCAAGCAAGTGACAATGCCCTGTGCTTTCCCAATGTGGCTCGCAGCATGGTCTGCATGAAGATCCTTTATACCTAGGGTTTCAGAAATTAAACAACAGGGCTGCTCTTTTCTCTTTCAGTGCCTAACAAGTCAACAGAAGCAGCAAAGAGAAACCACCTAAACAAGTAAAATTAGTTGTTGATCCTAGCTCACCCAAATCTGAAAAACAGGATCTACAGGTATCACTGGGCATGAAAACAAGCAGACCCTTTACACCAGCAGGTTGCTGAACTCCAACTTTTAGATACAACAGTTTTCCTCAGACTTCAGCACACTAAGGACACACTGGGAATTTTAATCAGCTATCATGGAAAAACATTACAAGTCTTTCATTTCTTCTTCTCAGTGCAATTTCCATACGACCTCATTTTAAGTAGATGCTTAGCAAACATTCTGCTCTTTGCTCCCTCCTTTCATTGTGTTGGCAAACTTGCACCAAATGTGCAGAAAGAACAGGCCTGGGAAATTCAATAGGGACTTGTACTAGTTATTCTTTGAGGGTGACATAAGATATATTACCTTCTTCAAATGGATAGATTGTCCTTGTCCCAAATGATTTCCTCATTACAATAAGACCTCACCAACTTAGAATAAAGTCAGAGGAGAAAAAGTACCATCTACATTAGTTTGTTTTTGTCTTTTAAAGAAGAGTTTCAAAAAACTTAGAAATGCAGGTTTGTTTCTTCTACTTTTTTTAACGTGGGGAAGTAGCACTGACAGGGAAGGAAGAGTACAGCTACAAGCCTTCCAATTTGCTGGAGATGCTTAAAAAAGCAAAATCACAGCAATTACCAGATTACTAATTACAGCATTCCCATGAGGTAGCTAAAGTACTTTTATTAGAGCCTAAGTATTTTGATCAGTCTGCACTCCAAAGAAAGACATATATTCACCTTCTTGCTCAAAAAAAAAAAGAAAAAGAAAAAAGAATCCAAAACCTGTTTCTTTACAAACAATGAAAAAAACTTCAATGTTAAATTGGTTAGCTTGTCAAATTATGAAAGAATGAAGTATGAAAGTTGTTGTATTCATAAAGAGAAATATGAAAATGAAAAAAAATCCTTACCCAGTATTTCTAGTGTTAAATAAAGAAGAGAACTCTGTGTGTTTTCAGCATAATTTTCCAATTCCTGGATATTACGATATGCTTTGTCATCCAAATTTCTTTCCTACAGTCAAACAAAAGGCAAACAAACCTGCTCAGTTATCAAAATTTATAAAGACAAGATTTTTTGCCCATAAGAGCTAAATAAAAATAAAAAAAATATTAAGTATATATCATTTAGTATACAGTAAAGTTAAAATAAAATTAAAATATTAAAGTTCTAGACATTCGATCTTACGGGTCACCCCTCACAGTAACACCTCGGGATGAACCCCAGTGCATAAATCACATGAACACGGGCTGGCTAAACGTTTCACTCCTTCAAAAGCCCGAGTTTTCATGAACTGGCTTTACTGAGCTCTTGCTTTTAAGCACTTTAGACATTATCTTCTTAATCCTAGCATTCCCCAAAAGGTAACAAAATAACACATTTTTCCATTTTGCAGGTGAAGAAACTCAGTCACAAACACATTAAATAATATGCCTAAAGTTAAGCCCATGCTCTCAATAAGGAAAGCGTGCCCAGAAACACAAAGGAGACTCATAACCAGCCCCCCACCCCCAAAACAAACCATGCTCAGTAAAGTAACAGGACTGATGAACTGAACAAACTCTAGTCACTCTACTCAAGAAACAGAAAAATGTGAATCCTAGTAAAGTCTAGCCACTTTTATAATAATACATTAACGCAGACTCTATTGTCAAGGTTATACACTCCCTCCTCTTCTATCAGGAGAAATTGACACCAGCAATGATCCTGGGAGGATGGGGGTGGGGGGAAGATATATGATTCACATACCATAAAATCTCCCCCTTTAAAATACATACAGTTCAGTGGTTTTCAGTATATTCACCAAGCTGTACAACTATCACCATTATCTAATTCCAGAAGGTTTTCATCACCGCAAAGAGAAATCCTGTATCCATGAAGCAGTCACCTCCCATTTCCCTTCCCCTCATCTCCTGACTAGGTGGTTTGTTACCTACTTTGTTACTCTGGATTTGTCTGTTTTGGACATTTTATAAAATGCATTTTATAAAATATATGGCTTTTTGTTTCTGGCATCTTTCTTTCTTTTTTTTTTTCCTTAGTTTTTTTATCCTCACCCAAGGACATGCTTATTGACTTTAGAGAGCGAGGAAGGGAGGAAAAGAGAATTATCAATGTGAGAAAAATTGATCCAATGCCTCTCACATGCACCCTGACTGGGGACTGAACCTGCAACCCAGGCATATGCCCTGACAAGGAATCAAACCCTCCACCCTTCAGTTTATGGGACAATACTCCCACCAACTGAGCCGCACCAGCCAGGGCTATCTGGCTTTTTTTCAATTAACAAGTTAATCAAGGTTCATCCATGTTGGAACACCCATCAGTACTTAATTCTTTTTTTTGAAATGAATTTATTGGGGTTACATTGGTTAATGAAACTATATAGGTTTAAAGTGTACAATTTTATAATACATCATCTGTATGTTGTATTGTGTTTTCACCATCTCAAGTCATGTCTCTGCCCATCACCACTTACCCCCACTTTATCTTCTCCTGCTCCCCCCCCCCACCATTTCCCTCTGGTAATGACCACACTGTTGTCTATCAGGTTGGGTTTGTTTGTTTGTTTTCTTAATCCCTTCACCTTTTTCAGCCAGGCCCCTACCCCATCCCCTCTGACAGCTATGAGTCTGCTTTTTTGTTAGCTTATTTTGTTCATTAGAGTCCACATGTAAGTGAACTCATATGGTGCTCATCTTTCTCTGACTGGCTTATTTCCCTTAGCATAATACTCTCAAGGTCTATCCATGCTGTTGTAAAAAAGACTTCCTTTTTTTTTATGGCTGAGTAGTATTCTGTTCTGTAGCTGTACACTGCTCTGTGATCCACTCATCTACTGATGGGCACTGGGTACTTCCAGTACTATGTTGACTAAGAGGTGAAAGCAGTTCCCTGTCTTGTTCCTGATCTTAAGGGAATCACTTTTAGTTTTTGCCCATTGAACATGATGCTGGCTGTGGGTTTGTCATGTAATGCCTTTATTATGTAGAGGTATGTTCTCTCTTTGCTGAGAGTTTTTATCATAAATGGGTGTTGGATTCTATCAAATGCTTTTCTGCATCTATTGCTATTATCATGTGATTTTTATCCTTCACTTTGTTTATGTGGTGTATCACATTTATTGATTTGCAGATATTGTACCAACCTTGCATCCCCAAATAAATCCCACCTAATTATAGTGTATGATCTTTTTAATGTATTGCTGGATCCAATTTACTAACATTTTGTTGAGAATTTTAGCATCTATGTTCACCAGGAATACTGGTACGTAATTTTTTCTTTGTAGTGTCTTTATCTGGTTTTGAAATTAGGATAATGCTGGCCTCGTAAAATAAGCTTGGGAGTCTTCTCTTCTCTTGAATTTTCTGGTATGAGAAGGCTAGGTGCTAGTCTCTCCTGTGAAGCCACTGGTCAAGGACTTTTGTTTGTAGGGAGTTTTTTGATCGCTGCTTCAATTTCACTAGTTATAATCTGTCTACTCAGATTCTCTGATTCTTCCAGATTCAGTTTTGGAAGATGATATGTTTTTAGGAATTTATCCATTTTGTCCAGATTGCCCAATTTGTTAGCATACAGTTGTTCATAGTATTTTCTTACAATCCTTTGTATTTCTTTGGTGTCCGTTGTTATTCTTCCTTTTTCATTTCTGATTTCATTTTGATCCTCTCTTTTTTTCTTGATGAGTCTGGTTAAAGGTTTGTCAATCTTGTTTATCTTTTCAAAGAGCCAGCTCTTGGTTTCACTGACCTTTTATATTGTTTTTTTAGGTTCTATATCGTTTATCTCTGCTCTGATCTTTATTTCCTTCCTTCTACTCACTTTGGGCTTTGTTAGTTGCTCTTTTTCTGGCTCCTTCAAGTGTAAAGTTAGTTTGTTTATTTGAGATTTTTCTTGTTTCTTGAGGTAGGCTTGTAACGCCGTGAATTTTCCTCTTAGTACTGCTTTTGCTGTGTCCCCCAGATTTTGGGTTGTTGTGTTCTCATTTTCATTTTCCAGGTATCTTTTGATGTCTTCCTTGATCTCATTGTTGACCCATTCACTGTTTAGTAACATGTTATTTTGTGTCCATGTCTTTGTGTAGTTTTCACATTTTTTCTTGTGACTGATTTCTAGTTTCACACCATTATGGTTGGATAATATGCTTGATATAATTTCAGTCTTCTTAAATTTATTGAGACTTGTTTTGTGTCCTAACATGTGGTCTAGCCTCAAAAATGTTCCATTTGCACTTGGAAAGAATGTATATTCTGCTGCTTTGGAATGAAATGCTCTGAAAACATTAATTAAACCCATCTGATCTAGTATGTCATTTAAGGCTGCTGTTTCCTTATTGATTTTGTCTGAAAGATCTATCCATTAGTATCAAGGGGTGTTAGAATCCCCTAGTATGATTGTCCATCTCTCCCTTTATGTCCACCAACATTTGCTTTATATATTTAGGTGCTCCTATGTTAGGTCCATCAATGTTTATAAGGGTTATATCTTCTTGGATTGTTTCCTTTATCATTATGTAGTGTCCTTCTTTGTCTCTTACTATATAGCTTTTGTTTTAAAGTCTATTTTGTCTGATATAAGCATTGCTACTCAAACATTTTTTTTATTTCCATTTGCATAAAATACCTTTTTCCATCCCTTTACTTTTAGTCTCTGTGTATCTTCCCTTCTGAGGTGGGTACCTTGTAGATAGCATCTGTATGGGTTTTGTTTCCTTATCCATTCAGCTACTCTATGCCTCTCAACTGAAGCATTTAAACTATTCACATTTAAAGTGATTATTGATAGGTATATATTTATTGCCATTTTATTCTTTATCATTATGTTCCTCTTCTCTGTCTTCTTCCCTTTTCCTCCTGCCTCCCCCTTCTCCTGCTCATTCTTCTTCAAGAAGACCCTTTAACATTTCTTGTAATACTGATTTGGTGATGACACACTCCTTTAGTTTTTCCTTGTCTGGGAAGCTCTTTATTTCTCCTTCAAACTTAAGATAGACTTGCTGGGTAAGGCAGTGTTGTTTTTAGGTCCTTGCTTTTCATCACTTTGAATATTTCATGCTAGTCCCTTCTGGCCTGAAATGTTTCTGTTGAGAAATCAGCTGACAATCTAATGGGAGCTCCCTTGTAAGTAACTATCTTTCTCTTGCTGCTTTTAAGATTCTCCTTCTCTCACCTTTGCCATTTTAATTATGATGTGTCTTGCTGTGGGCCTCTTTGGGTTCACTTTGTTTGGGACTCTGCTTCCTGGACTTGTGTATCTTTTAGCAAGTTAGGGAAGTTTTCAGTCATCATTTCTTCAAATGGGTTATTGATCCTGTGTTCTCTCTCTCCTCCTCTGGTACCCATATAATACAGAGGTTGTTATGCTTTCTAAAGGTCCCTGAAACTATTGGGTTGGCCACAAAGTCCATATGGTTTTTTCTGAAAAATAAAAAAAATTTCATTTTCACCAATCACATTATTGATTTGGATATTTTGCGTATCTACCTAATATAGCTTCATTAGGTAGATCTGCTATGACTCCCACTCTCACCAGGGTGGCCTTATGTAGTAGGTGTCATATGGGGCCCAGTGGCACAGTCTCCTTCACCTGAACTGGGTATTCCAGGAATGTCCCTTGTGTGGGTCATGTGGGCCCTCCTGTTGTAACTGAGTCTTGATTGCCTTTGGCCTATTTGTGTGTGAGGTCAACCCTCAGGCTGGCTGATGGTGAGGAGCAACCCCAACCACAATGAACAAGCTGCTGTGCTGGTGGTAACCACTCAAAGCGGTATCTGCCTCAGCAGAATATCGTGTCTGCCAAGACCTTTTCAGATACGCCACTTGTCAGGCTAATTGGATCCTGCTCTGATGTTGTCTGAAGCTTGCCTATGGGTGTGGGGCCTTTATGGTGGTCAATGTTGGCATTGACTGTGACTGGCCCCGGCAACCTGTTTGGAGCTACAAAGCAGTCCATAGTTTGTGGCTGCCTCTGTTGAGCCTGAATGTGCACAGGAAGGATCAAGCTGCACACCAAGGCTCGCTTTCACCAGCACTAGACCATGGAGCAGGTTAGCAAAAGTCCCTAGGAACCCCGAGGTCCACTTCCGCCTGCCTCCCCCTGCCAGCTGCCTGCTAGACTCAGTCACTAAAAGCCTCCGGTGGTACTCGAGTTGCCTGCAATAGGTTCTCAGTGAGTAACCAGATAGGGGCAAGAGGTGTTCTCCAGATCTATATGCGTTCAATCTTGGTGCCCGTGCTGGATCTAAAGCCACTCAGCAAATGCCCCAGGATATATACCAGATCTATCTGACACTCACTGGGTGCTCACACATATTTGTGGTGTGGCGGGGTCTTAGGGCGTCATCAGGGTGAGGCCTGCAGTTTGGCAGGCTAAACAGACCAAGAGTTGGCCATGTGAATGGAAGCTTCTGCACCAGTCAGGTATGTGAGGGAAAAATTTCCTATCCTAGGGCCACGCTACTCAGTGTGTCCCAGATCCTGCCAGGGGCCTGATCCAGGAGGGAGGGGCCACTGGGAGTCGAGAAAAGGAAAGGTGCCATTCAGGTATGGGGGAAGTTGGGGGGTGTGGCTCCTGCCCCAGCCACACAATTCAGAATGTCCCAGATTCTGCCCAGACCTCTATACCCCATTGCTGACTCCTTAGCAGAGTGGAAGCCCCACAGGGGAGGGCAACATGGAGACCAGAGGATGGAACAATTGGTTTTCCCCAGGCTGATGCTGCACTGAGGAGCATGCTCCACCTGAGACAGCATCTGCAGAGCGTGGAGTAACTCAGCCCAGGGGATCCTGGCAGTTTACCCCTCTGCTCTCTTCCCAGTGCCACAAACCCCAGTCTCTCTATGCACAACTCTAGTCTGCTCCGCCCTCCCACCACCAGAGCGGAGCACAGGGTGAATGGCTATGAAGGACATACTGTGTGTTGACCCTTTAAGAGGGTACCTGAGTTCCTAGCAGACTCCCATATCTCCCTGGTAGACAGAAACACCTCTGCTTTTCACAGCCAGGTGTTATGTGAGCTCCTGTTCCAGACTCTGGAGCTCTGGATGTGGGGCCCAGCTTGGTCTTGAGGTCCCATGCTTACCAAGGGGAAGCTGCCCAAAACTGAGATGTACCTCCAGAACCTCAGCCACTGCCAGTGCAAGTGGGGCCAGCCTTTTTTGCGTCTCTGCACTCTTTACCAGTCTCAATGTGGCTTCTTTTGTAAATCCTTGGTTTTAAGACTTTTCTTCAGCTAGTCTTCAGTTGGTTATTCAAGCTGATTTCTCTATATTTTAGTTGTACTTCCAGTTTGGTCCTGGGAGGAGATGGATAATAGTTTCCACTGACTCTGCCACCATCTTCGATCTCCCATTATTTCATTCTTTTTAATTTAAAAAATTATGAATAATAGTCTATGGTACGAATATATCATATTGTATTTATTCATTCATTGACAGAGTATGAGTTATTCCCACTTATGGACTATTTTTTTAAGGTTCTTTTTTTAATTTATTACTTTTACAGAGAGAGGGAGAGGGAGACATCGATATGTTGTTCCACTTATTTATGCACTCATTGGTTGCTCCTTGTATGTGCCCTGACCAGGCATCAAATCCACAACCCTGGTGTATCGGGACAACACTTTAACCAACTGAGGCACCCGGCAAGGGCCCTCTCTTGGAACTATAAATGAATAATGCTGCTATAAACATTGTGTACAAGTTTTGTATGGACATATGTTTCCATTTCTCCTGGGTATAAACCTAAGAGTGAAATTGCTGGGTCTGTGGTAACTTTAATTTTTTTAATAACTGCCAAATTTTTCCAAAATAGTTGTACCAATTTACATTCCCATCAGCAATATATGAAGGACTCCACTTTCTCCACATTCTCACCAACATCTTTTTTATTGTAATCAACATATATCCCAATGGGTGTAGAGTGATATTTCATTATGGTTTTGATTGGCATTTCCCCAATGAAAAAATACTGAACATTGTTTTAGTTGCTTATTGGTCATTGGTATACCTACCTTCAAGAAATGGTTATTCAAATCCTTTGCCTATGTTGAAATTAGATTATTTGCCTTTTTACTGTTGAGTTGTAAGAAGTCTTCACATATTCTAGATACTAGTCCCTTATTAAATATATATCTAGCAAATTCTTTCTCCTATTCTATGGATTGTCTTTTCACTTTCTTGACGTTTTTAATTTTCATGAAGTCCAATTACATATTTTCTTATTGCTTGTGCTTTTGTTATCATATTTAAAAAATCACTGCCCATCCTAAAGTCACAAAAATGTATGCCTATGCTTTCTCTTGTTTTACAATTTTAACTCTTATACTTAAGTCTTTGATCCATTTTGAGTTAAATTTTTATATATGGCATAAGGGAGGAGTCCAAATTCATTCTTCTGCATGTGGCTATCCAGCTGCCCCAGCATTTGTTGAAATGGCTCTTCTTTCCCCTTGAATTATCTTCACACACTTGTCAAAAACCATGTGACCATAAAAATATATGGGTTTATTGTTGGACTCTCAATACTATTCTATTGATCTATATGTCTATCCTATGCCAATACCACACAGTTTGATTACTGTAACTCTGTAGTTAAGTTTTGAAATTGAGAAATATGAGTTCTCCAACTTTGTTCTTCTTTTTCAAGATTGGTTTGGTGATTCTGGGTCCCGTGCATTTCCATATAAACTTTAGGATTAGCTCATCAATTTCCATTAAAAAAGGCAGCTGGAATTTGTATAGGCATTGTGCTCAATCTATAAATCAATGAGGGGAGAGAGATCCTAGTCTTTTACTTTTAAATACCCTTCCCTACATATGCCAAGAGTTATTTTCCATAGAACAGAAAAGTTATTTCTGTCTTGAGTCCTCTAATTCTGTTTATATCATCAAAACAGGAGACACCTGAAAAAAAGATTTCCTTAGTGCTAATTAACTCTATAGGTCAACTGAGCAATTTTTCTTCAGGCTAAGCCATTATCTCATTTTGGTTTATATTATTATTGCTATAGCTTATGGTTATTAATGGATTATATCCACATAAAGGTAAGTAAACTCACATTTTCATGACAACAGTGCATGATAAAGGTCAGACCAATGAGGACATTGAGCGAACAACATGTCAGAGATTACACAGGTTAGTCCAGGTCATTGAGCAATTTGCAGGCTTGGTTGAAACTACAATGGAACTCAGTTCTAAGAACTTAATATAGGATTCCATTCACTAGAACCATCAGACTTTCCTTATTCCCTCTACAACTTGCACGGAGATCCAAACAGTGAGTATACATAAAGGCATGTCTATGACTACTTAAATTTTAATGAAAATTAGCTTCAGGATTAAAAAAGGAAGAAAAAACTTAAGCAATTTCAACTTACTCTTTCATCAATGATTTTCATAAGCCATCTTTTAGTCAGATTATGTCTCTTGACAGCCTAAAAAAACAAGAGTATTATAAACTTTTAGAAAGTATTAGAAATGACTTCTGCAGACCTAGATAAATACAAAACTAGGTAAGGGAACATTTGTCATAACTCATCACCAGATAGACCGCTGTGTTAAAGAAATACCAGGAAAAAAGAAAATGTCCGTAGAAAACATTTCAAAACATTTCCAAGTCAAGATAATACATTTAAAATGTTTCCACTAAATTAAATACTGAGCTTGTTACATGATATACCCTGACATCTATGCTTACTTATTACACACAAACTTCTTTCCATTGAATAAAGATTCTAATTAATGAAAAGAACCACTACTCTAAAAAAACAGAGTAACTAAAACTCCAAAGAAAATAATCTGCTAGGCACGGTACTATCTTAGCAAGCAAAGACACTCCAGTGGGAGAGAGCACACCTGGTGCCCAGATCTTGATCTCTGAAAGTATTTTTCCCAAAGAAGCAGAGCTCCAGACAGATGGGTGATTTCCAGAGGTGGGGCAAGTGAGACTCAAGATGACCCTAGAATATTTTATTGTGCCAGAAAATAGAAAGTGCTCAAAAAAATATGAGAGGCATGTCATAAGGACACAGAAGCCAGTTAAAGGGGTCCTACTGTCTAAATCCAGGAGTATTTGAACAGCAAAATAATTAAGCATAATAAAATGATTTGTAAACTATTACAAAAATAGCAACTCATGAGTCCATAATAATAAATACATAAATAAATATACATACAAGAGTGAGAGCTCTCACTTATAGTAGAGTGCCAACTGGTAAATGTGGACAGAGTATTGGAATTGGAAAAGTATTATTTTGCAATCATACTAGTAAAGACTGAATCAGACAAGAACCATAAGTGAATGCTAAGTTTCACGGGAAATTAATGAGTAGGATATCTGCATTTTCCTCGAGTTGCCAGAGGAATTATACAGTGGATTATACAGTGGGAAAACATCTTGACTGGATGATGAAAAGTAACAATGCCAATGAAGAACAAATGCACAAAACTGGCCTCCAGATGTGACGCCCTAAGAGGAAGACATCGTCTATGCATACTACAACCAAGAGTGTACTACCTGAATCTAATGATGAGAAAACATCAGACGAGTCCCAAATGAGGAATGCTCTATAAAAAGAAAAAAAATTAGAGGGGCTATACTCTTCAAACATGTCACTGTCACAGAAGACAAAGAACCGCTGCAAAGACGTCCCAGATTGGAGCAGGCTAAAAACACACGACAAACAACACCTGACCCCAGAATGGAGCCTACACTGGGGGGAAAAGGCACTACAGTGGACATTATTGGGTCAACTGAAGAAATTGAAATATGAATGGAAAATTAGATGGAAGTGTTATATCAAAGTTAGTTTTACTAAAGTGAATAACAGTTCTGGTTATATAAGAGAACGTCCCTATTCTTAGGAAATACTCACTGAACTATTTAGGGATAAAAGGCCATGATATATTTACTTACACTCAAAAGTGATTCAGAAAAAACATTAGAAGTGTGAAAGTACATATACATCTATCTATCTGTCCAGAGAGAAAGAGAGGACACAGGCCCACATGGACACGTGAGTGAACAGTACGAATGATTAACAAATGGAATAAACTGTTAGCAATAGGTAAATCTGGGTAGAGTATAGAGTTGTTCTCATTATACTATTTTTAATTTTGAAGCTTTTCTAACACTTTAAAAACACTTGCTTTCTTGATAAATCAACACTAAGAATGATACATTTTCACAATAGTAACAGTCCTAAAACATAAAGTCTTAGGAACATCCTGTACGTCAACTAAGACTCTATGATGTCACTGACAAAAATGTAAAGGCACACTCATCAGTACACATTTACATGACAAAGGGTGAGGGAGTGGAGAACAGAGCCCACTTTGCTTGGCAGAAACCTAACAGAAGCCAACAGGGCTGATGACAGTGGTCCCCACGTGCCCTCAGCACTACTGCTGTTACAAAGGAGGACGCCCCACAAGCCTCCCTCCTGAATCCTAGGAATCAGCTGCGGGTTCCTCAGTCTGTACAGAGTCCTGATCTGTACGAGTCTAAGTGGGGCTGGGTACGCTTGATCTTTGTAACCACACCATCAAACACCATCCCTGGAACATAAAAGTACTCGGTAAATATTTAACCACTGAAAAGCCAGACTCTTATTTAGTGAAGACTGAAGTTATAACAGCTGGAGTTCCTTGACCACAAAATATAGTTCTTCATTTAATTCTGAGGGAAATAAAAAATCAACATAAAAAATAAATATTTGTTAGAAACTGAAAACCAGCTAAATAAGGTATTGAAACTTTGGAAACAGAAGTCAAATAGAATAAAAACCCTGGCTATAAACATAAAATATTAATGAACACAGAAATAGAGAAACCTATATGAAATGTAAAAGAAATTACAGATATTCAACTATTTTGCACCATAAAAGCACCAGTGAAAGAGTGCAGCAGGAAAAGTGCTCTCTAGACAACACTCTGTCGCCACTTCCCTGTTTAGTCTTCTAAAGATCCTGACCCTCCCAGAGAACCACTGGGAAGTTTCACTGGGCGGTGGTACAAGGAGCACCTGCTCCTGCAGGATAAGGACGGGTAAAGAAGATACAATGAGGGCAGATGCCTCCAACACTACTGGCTTCTTTCAAATATTCGTATTAACCTTCAGCACTGGTCGTATCGAAAAGCTGGCCAACGTTAATCATCACGAAGTAAGGAGCTACTATAAAACTGTACACGTTGGCACACATGTAAACATTCTGTAATTCAGATGTCTTTTTATTTATTTTTTAAAGAAGTGCCTAGGAGAGAGAAAATTGTGTTAAAGGAATTTCAGATCTTCTGTGTTTCCTGACAAAGGTCAGAACCTTCCACGCAGGTCATAGCATAAACCTGTACTGTAGTCAGGGGTTTGTATAAAATAACAAACAGAAAGTTTCTGGCTTTTAGAGAAACTTTCCTCTAAACTGATTCAAGGTTGAAGTTGTTGAAGTGGGATGAATAGAGGTAAACAGCTAGTCTAATACTCACAGCTTCCCATCCACTGTCTCTTCTCAGTCCCCGGTGGGGGGCCTGGCTCTCCGTCCTTACTGGGGCTCTGTGGAGTCAATCTGGGACCCCGAAATGGGGTCTGCCTCTGCTGGTGCAGACCTGAGAAGAGGGGTACCACTGTGTCAGGTCTGTCAGCGGCTCCTGCTCCAAAAACCGTCTTTTGGCTCTCATCATTTTACAGTGGGGACACAAATCAGTAACAAAAGGCACCTAATTCCCTTCCTCCATCCATAATTTAGCATATTTCTAAACTATGTATGGCTGTTTATGCATGAGGGATCCACATAACTTCTTTAATGAAAAATGAATTATAACACACATCCAACTATACAAGTAATATTCTAGCCCACAGGTTTCTATTCTCTAATACCTAAAATTCATCAACAAATAGGCAATTCTATCAAACTAGAAAGGCTGTTTCAAATCTGTGTCTGGACAATAATGAGAGCACATCTCCCTTCACAGGTAGAACAGGAAGTGTACCTGCCATTGCTTCAAAAGGTGCAGGGTTTAAATTCTGCAACCAAGTATGTGGGAAATGATTTATAACATAAAGAGACCAGATCCCTTTTCTCCTTCAATAGAGAAACACACCAAAGATCTGTGCAAATTATTGGTGGATGATTTAAATTCTTCTGTCCAAACTGACTAACGTATATCTGAACATTACATGAGCCCAAGAATATTTTCAGGATAGATTGCCCATCATTATTACCCAAATTGTATGCATCAAAAAGTATGCTCAAATAAAAGTCTTAGAAATTAAAAGCAGCAATGGTCTTTACCTTCCACAGTTCAATGGCCACAGGCTGATGCGGTGGATTGTCACTGTACACGTCATCCACGGTCTTCTTCCAAAACTGCATTCGCATCAGCCCGATTGTTTTCTCGGAAACCAGATCCTTAATCTATAAATAAGGTTTAAAAACTTCAATAAATGCGCTGTCTACAGTCTCAAAAATCAGTATTTGTGACCACATGATCACATAATTTAGCCAAAAACTAAGTTTAATTCTATGCATTTGTTTTAATGCTCCCTTGAAGTTAAACTGTTGTCATTATGAGTCTCCTAAGTAAAAGCTGCCAATTATTTGATGCTTACTCAAAAATAGGAGAGATTCTAGGAAACAACTGCAGGAAAAATACAAAGAGAAGGAGGGGGAACATTTAGCTTAAAAAGAAATTTAAGAACTAGATCAGTCATCACATGTGGACTTTATTCAAATCCTGATTTAAAGAGAGAGACACACAGCTGGGAAAATCTGAACATTAGATGTTTAATGATATTAAGGTATTACTCTTAAATTCTTAATGTATGATAGTGACATTGTAGTTACTTTTTTAAGTGAGTTATCTTTCAGAGCTACATACTGAAATGTTTACAGATGGAAAAGTTTATCTGGGATGAACTGCAAAGCAACCAGGAATCAGAAGGACACGGGAAGATTATGGGGGGAGGCAAGGTGAGGACAGAGGGATGTGTGGGGGGGTGTCCTGGTGGCTGGAGTAGTCCGGGTGGCTGTGGTGAACACATCCTTCAAAACCCACAGAACCGTACACCACAGAAAGTAAACTTTACAGCATGTACATTTTTTTAATGTATTTTATTGATTATGCTATTACAGTTGTCCCATTTCCCCCTTCTCTCCCCTCCACCCTGTACCCCCTCTCCCACCCACGTTCCCCACCTTTAGTTCATGTCCATGTGTCATTCTTATGAGTTCTTTAGCTTCTACATTTCCCGTACTATTCTTGCCCTCCCCCCTATCTATTATCAACCTACATTCTATGCTACTTATTCTCTATACCTTTTCCCCCCTCTCCTCCTCCCACCCCCCCCCCTGCTGCTAGCCCTCCATGTGCCCTCCATTTCTGTGGTTCTGTTCCTGTTCTAGTTGTTTACTTAGTTTCTTTTGGTTTTGCTTTAGGTGTGGTTGTTCATAATTGTGAGTTTGCTGTCCTTTTACTATCCATGTCTTTTCTTTATCTTCTTTTCTTAGATAAGTCCCTTTAGCATTTCATAAAATAAGGGCTTGGTGATGATGAACTCCTTTAACTTGACCTTATCTGAAAAGCACTTTATCTTCCCTTCCATTCTAAATGGGAGCTTTGCTGAATAGAGCAATCTGGGATGTAGGTCCTTGTCTTTCATGACTTGGAATATTTCTTTCCAGCCCCTTCTTGCCTGTAAGGTGTCTTTGGAGAAATCAGCTGACAGTCTGATGGGAACTCCTTTGTAGGTTACTGCCCCCTTATCTCTTGCTGCTTCTAAGATTCTCTCCTTCGTTTTTACCTTGGCTAATGTAATTATGATGTGCCTTGGTGTGTTTCTTCTTGGGTCCAACTTCTTTGGGGCTCTCTGAGCTTCTTGGATTTCTTGGAAGACTGTTCCCTTTGCCAGATTGGGGAAGTTCTCCTTTATTATTTGTTCAAATACATGCTCCATCTGTTGCTTTTCTCCTTCCTGTTCTGGTACCCCTATAATTCGGATGTTGGAACGTTTAAAGGTGTCCTGGATGCTCTTAAGCTTTTCCTCGATTTTTTGAATTCTTATTTCATCATGCTTTCCTGCTTGGTTGATTTTATCTTCCTTCTGGTCCACTGTATTGTTTTGAGACTCAGATTCCTTCCTTTCACTATTGGCTCTCCTCCGCGTATCTTCCTGCATCTCTTTTATGGTAACCTGCATCCTTTCATCTAAATTGCGCCCAAAATCAACCAATTCCGTGAGCTTTCTGATCACCAGTGTTTTGAACTGTGCATCTGATAGATTGGCTATTTCTTGGTCGCTCAAAAGGATGAGTCCTGGGGGAGTGATCTGTTCTGTTGGATACATGTCTTATGTCTTTCCCTGTCTCTGGTCGCTCTTGTTACGATGGGGGGCGGAGCCTTAGGTGTTCACCAGGGCTGGGCACCCTGGTCGCTAGATTGTGACGTTATATGTGTGGGCGGGGGCGGGGGCGGGAGGGGACAATGGCAATAGTTTCGTTCTCCCGGGCTCAGGCCCTTCCTTGTGATCCTGGGCTGCGAGCTCTGCCCTGGTCCACAATCGCTGCTCCACAGGGTCCGCCCGCCGCAGCTTGCGTACTCAGGGATCACCGCTGCGTTCTGGCGCCCCGGATGGCTGTTGCGCTGATTTCGCGCCAAATTTTCCCCGACCTCCGCGCGCCGCCGACCCACGCCAGCCCCGCGCCCGCCCAGCTCGTCGTCTCCTACCGGTCTGGATGTACGGGTTTGCTTCAACTTCTTGGCTGTCCAACTTCCATTCAGATAAATCCTATCAGTTCTGAGTGATATTCTATCTGTAAATTATTGTTGTTCTAATCTTGGTTGTGCGAGGAGGCACGATGCGTCCACCTATTCCTCCATCTTGCCGGAAGTCCAGCATGTACATTTTAGATAAACTCATTCCTTTACTCACTCACCGAGTAATTATTTAACGATTATTAGACAGTCACCCTCACTCACTACTAATTAAGAATGACCTTGTCAGGTTCAGGTAAGAATCGCCAATGCATTCTAAATGTAGGGGGTAAATTTTTAAAAACTGAGATATAATTGACATATAACAGTATCTTAGTTTCAGGTGTAAAACATGATTTGGTACATGTACATATTGTGAAATAATCACCACAATAAGTGCAGTTAACATATCATCACACAGTTACAAACTTTTTTTTCTTGTGATGAGAACTTTTAAGTTCTACTAACTAACTTTCAAATACACAATACAGTATCTACCACAGTCACCATGCTGAACATGACATCCCCAGGACTTACTCATTCGTAACAAAGCTTCTACCTTCTGAGCACCCATTTCACCCACCTCCTACCCCTGCCTCTTGCAATCACCAACCTGGTCCCTATATCTACACATCTGGGGCTTTGTGTTGTTTTGTCTTGTTTTAGATTCCACATATAAGCGAGAGCATGTGGTATGTGACTTTTGTCTGACTTATTTCACTTAGTATAACGCCATCAAGGTCAATCCACATTGTTGTGAATGGCGGGATTTCCTTTTTTATGACCAAATAGCATTCCAGGAAGTGTGTGTATGTGCGCACACAGGCACCGCGTCACATTTTCTTTATCCGTTCTTCCATCAGAGGACACTCACATTGTTTCCTTCCATCAAAGGATGCTTAGGGGCCATGGGTGAGAAAGGTGAAGGGATTAAGAAGTACAAATTTGTAGTCACATATAGTCATGGGGATGTAAAGTACAGCATAAGGAATGTAGTCAGTAATATTACAATAACCATGTGTGATGTCAGATGGGCACTAAATTTATCAAGGTATTTTGTAAGTTATATAAATGTCTAATCACTATGTTGTACACCTGAAACTAATAATATTCTATGTCAACTATAATTGAAATATTAAAAAATTGTTTAATGTTTCAAAAAACTGCTATATGCAAATGTTGGAGAGGAGAAGCAGTAATACTCTGATTAACCTATCCAATTAACAGACAAATGTACAATGTTAATTGTATAATTTTATAATATCCTTAGAAAAAGAAAAAAATTCCACAATCATATTTCTAAAAACAGTAAGTTCATTAGCTAGGTTTTTTTTGGAATTGAGTTGTTAAGCCTAAACAGAAAAAAAAAGTCAGCAGCAGAGACCTTAAACACATCTAACATATAAATTACAACTGTACTTCTTTACTGTTCAGCATTAAACACATTATATCAGCATTTTTGCAAATAATTAAGGTAGTTTAATACCAGCCTGAGCGAGCTCCACATTGAAGGCTCTCAGGGCAAAAGCAGAGCTTCTGCACTCTGCAGGAAGCAGCAAGGAGCACAGGTAGCCTTCATAATCTCGCTTCCTACGACAGAGAGAGAGAAAAAAAAGGACAGTTACTTTTGACTTCCAAACTGCACACCAAAACAATACTGACCAGAATATCTGAAAACAGTGAGGTTTCAATTCAAAATAGCCCTGAAATTTCTTATATCCTATGCCTGTTTCATTCCAATCACTACAAATGTATCTGCTCATAATCCCAGACCAGTTAAAAATAAAAAATAATCAATCTCAATTTTTTTACTTCTATAGTACTTATAATTTTAATTGTTTTAGAATCACTTTGTACTAATTCAAGTGAGGTAACAATGTAGAAATCAAGAAAACAGTTCCAGTAAGTACTAGTACCAATCATGGTTTTTAATACATAAACAAATAAGACATAAAGACAGAAAACAACATAGGAGTGTGGGGCATGCTCACTGTGATGCACCTGCACTCACACACACGTCTTGCATTTCCCAGCAGCGTCTGCTGTGAGAATCTAGAAGCGATGACACCCCTCCCGCCCCAGCGCCAGTATCAGTGAACACGCCTAACGCCTACATCTTGGTTTCTAAAAACCTTTCTCCACTGAAGAAAACCAGAAACCCTTGGAGGAGTGACTGACTCCAGAGCTGGGATAGAGAAAATGCAACATAAGCCTGAAACATCTTCTTGAATAGAAAGAAATGTTCAAAGGATGAAGAAGCTTGTCAAAAGGACAAAAAAAAAAAAATGACAGAGTTTTTTTTGGCCAAGTCTGGGAAAAGTTAAGCATCAAAAAAATAATGATAGTAACAGACTATAACAGGACTCCATGAGACTATTATCAATAGAAATGAAAGAATAAATAAATAGGAAGAGAAGGACACACTCCACAACCAGTACAACACAAACTGATACATTTAGAAGACATGATGGTATTTTTAAAAATCATCATTTGATAACTATCAAAGTAAGAAATGACTCATACACAAAAAAATCAATAAACATCTGGAAATGTTAAACAGGTGAAAGCTGGATAGGAATGGGATACTTACACAGTATTAAAGTATCTCCTCACAAAATATGTACTACTTACTAATTAACATTCTTATTAAGTTTACAGGGAAGAAACCTGAAAGACACCTTCTCAACCAAGCAACAAAAATTCCACCCCACAGTAACCGGATAAGCCAATGTCATGTGCCGCTGGATGTGATGCTGAGTACAGCACAGCATCACTTCTACAAAATACTGCCAAAAATGTACAAATCATGAAGAAATATTAAGTAAACCCAAACTGAGAGAGTCTATGAAGTAACTGATCTGTTCTCTTTTAAAAATGTCACGCTTGTGGAAGCTAAGAAAAGACTGAGAAACTGTTCCAGATTGGAGAAGACTAAAGAGATGTGACAACTAAATGTAGCACACGATCCCAGATGTATAAAAGACATAATAAAATAATCAGCAAAACTCAAATAGATTCTGTGGATCAGATGGTAACACTGGATCAGTTTTAACATCCTGACTTTGATGGTTGTACTGTGGTTATATGGGAGAGAATCTTTTTGTCTTAAGAAATGCACGTTAAAACATAAGGAAGGTAATGGGACATCATGTCTACATCTTATTCTCAAATGGTTTGGAATGTTAATAAGGGAATTTGAGTGAAGAGTATATTGGAACTCTGTTCTGTTTCTATAATTTTATGTAAAAGTGAAATTACTTCAAAATAAGTTTTAAAAAGTGTCCTTATTGTATTCATTCTAAGATGATTTGAGTATAAAGAACTTATCAGACTGCCTATCAACATGACTACTTTTACTGCAATATGCTGGAACCTTATTACAACATTATTTCCTATAAAATAGTGTTCATTATGAAACGGGTCCAGCCTTGTCCCATGGACTTCAGGAGCTGCAATACAGACCACTCCCACTTTTCAGCTGGTTCACATTTTGTCTTGTGCCCAAAAGAGAAATTAAATGCCTTCTAGCCACCGCCTTTACAATTTTCCTCAACTTTCACATAAACAAAAAAGAGATCTTTTAGCTCTATTAAAAAAACTCACTATAAGCAGTTTCAACTACCAAAAAAATGGACAGTGTGAGTAAAACAGCTCTATAATTTGTACTTTTAAATATATACAAATATTTTAAAATTTATTTTATTGTTAAACGTCTGTGAACTCCAAGTGTTGAAAACACTTGGAAGGTAGTATGAAACAGTAGGAAAGCACTGAATAGGAATCAAAACTACAATTTTAATTTCTACCATTCAACTTACCTACTGACATAAATGATACCAGCCATATCTATTTCCTAACTTGCAAAATGAGGCTTGATAACCTCCTATTTCACATCTCCTAACTATACCCAGTTTGTGAAGTCCTTCATGTTTCTTATAGGGAAATGAAAAAATGAAATGAAGACATAATAGAACTGTAACAAACTTTGGGAAATAAAATACTATACACAGCTAAGGGTGTATGCCCTGTTAATACTTTTTTAAATTTTTGATTGGAATTTTTTCTAAATAATATTGCCTACTTCCTTACATTAAAAATAGGATATACTAATTATTTAACCATTTCTTCATCACTCTGGATCATTGTTATAAAGACTTTTTATTGGTATACAAGGATATCCTATCCTAAGTGGCTAACCAAAGTACAAGTTACCTAAGAACTGTCCCTGCTAGTAAGAAATGCCATACTCTACTGGCTTTACAAAGCAATAACTCCAACAGCCTTTCATTCATTCATTGATTCTAACATTTATCCAGTGCCTACTATGTGCCAGGCACTGCGCTAGCCACTGAAGACAGATATGGACTTCAGTCTAGCAGGGGGAGACAGACATGAGAAATATGTATATCTGATGTTAGGACTGCTGTGCTAATTCCACAGACCTGTGCCACGGAAGCAAAGGAAGAACTGGTTCCCCAGTGAGGCTGGAGAACAGGTGCACTTTCATTAGCACCTCCTTAGTACAGCACCAATCCCAAGGCCCCAGGCAACTGTTCCTCAAAACCAAACCCCAAGAAGCCTATGTAAATTAGGTATGAGATTTTCCCAGGAGCCCTGGCTGGCTAACCTGAAGTTACGGCCTGGGATCTTTTCTGGTATTTGGAGGCCTTGCCTAAGATACATGTCCAAAACAACCCTGCACAAATAATTCCAGACAATTAGAAACTAGAAGTTCTCAATTCCCTTTCATGTTTCATTTTTTTTATTTTTTAAACTATTGCTTGAGCATTTGTTATGTGCCAGCATTTTTACATACATCATTACGCTTAATCTTTGCGAGCAAGCTATAAGGAATAGGAGTAGTAATGTACAAATGAGGAAAAGCTGAATCTTAAAATATGTAACTTTCACAAGTGACAGAGCTAGAAATAATAAATTCAGATCAGGTCTGCCTGCAAAATCCTGGCTTTTAAGTCACTAGAGTCAACAGCCTCTATTCCACTCCAAAACCAGCATGGACAGACTAAGGACCTGGCCATTTGTAAACAGATATTTGAAAAAAAAGGTATCATGTGATGTCTATAGACTATTACCGGAACAATATAAAAAATTAGTAACAGTGATTATTCACCTCTGGATAGGAAAGTTGGGACACTACTAGTATGAAAGAAAAATTTCATTGGACAAGCGGTTATGGTACAAATGATTCATTTTGGTAACAAATTTATCATCAAAGAATGGTAACTTTAAAAATAAACATAACCTGGTAGCAGTTTTTTAAAAGATGTCCTTTATTTATTTTTAGAGAGGGGGAAAGAGGGGAGAAAGAGTGGGAAACATTGATTGGTGGCTTCTTGCTCACCCCCAACTGGAGACCTGGCCGGCAACCCAGGTATGTGCCCTAAACAGTAATCAAACCTCTGACATACTGATTTGCCGGCTGGCGCCTCAGTCCACTGAACCACACAAGCCAGGGCCCTGTAGCAGTTTTGACTTAAAATTCTTAATGCCCTGATTTCCACTACTGCTATCTTCTTTCCCCACAAGTAATCAACAAATAAGGTAGGGAGGAACACTATTAAAAACGTAATTAAAAACAAAACACATGGGAATTTTGTTGTGTTACGCTACAACAAAATCCTTTGCTAAAAGGAATTTTTAAAAGTTGGATTCAATAGCCCAATCAAACCCAAAATAGTTTAATTATCCTAACACTTCAGAAGTCCTTGAGGCCAGGCACTTTGAGCATTTTTACCACTGTTAGGAATCCAGCCCAACAGAAGGGCAGTGGGATGCTAAGCCATTGGCCTCTTGCAGTCAGGCCTGGATTACACCACAGGCCCCTGCCTAGAAGTGTTAGCGAACCTGATTCACCCAACTTCCTTCCACAAATGATTAACAGCGACTCCCATGTGCCAGGATCTCTGGTGTTAGCAGGGCAAAGAAATTGTCATCAAGCCCTTGACGTTCTGGTGAAGCTCAGTTAAATTCCCTAGTTTTTCTAAACCTCGGTTCCCCAGTCCATTAAATGAGATAAGAATGGCTTATATTGTATTCTTAGTGTCCTTGCTTTATGCCAGGCATTGTTCTAAATGCTTTAATCCTCATAATCCAAGTGGGAGATCTACACTTGTCCATCACAATTTGTAATAAAGATTAAGTAAATTACAGTTGGCCCTTGAACAACACAGGTTTGGGTCGGGAGGGTTTCGCGGGGGGGCGGGGGTTAATAAATACTGTAAATGTGTTTTCTTTATGATTTTCTTAACATTTTATCTAGATTTCTTTAGTGTAAGAATACAGTAATCAACTGTTCATGTTACTGGTAAGGTTTTCGGTCAACAGTGGGTTATTAGTAGGAAAATTTGGGGGGAGTCAAAAGTTATACTGGGATTTTCAAAGGGTTTGTGGAGCGTGGGGGAAGTGGGTGGTACCAGCGCTCCTAAACCAGGGGTAGTTCAGGTCAAGTGTAGGTGTAAATTACGTTGCGGAGAGCCTGACACATAAAATGAACTGAGAGATAGCTACTGTTGTAATTAAAATTAATTACTAGCCGTCTTTTAAACTTAATAAAGCTATGCATGCAAAATGCTGAATTTGGGTAAAAATTAAGGATTGAGCAAGGTGAAGACGAAGGCATTTTTGCCACAATTTCGTGACCCGTGTAAAAGTTCCTGATCCCTCTCTCTCCAGCACGACCTCACCTGGAGCCAACTGGAGCACACACGCTGTGCGACGCAAGAAACGAGCAGGTCCGCTCGCCCGCCACCCCCAGCCCCGGAGTCTCACCGCGCCCGCCCGTGCCCTTCGGGGCTGTTCCCCGACCTTTCGCCGGCCGCAGGCCGGGCTCGCTCACCGCAGCAGTTCCATGCAGTAGCGGTCAGTGCCCGAGACGCCCGACCCACTAGCTGCAGTCACGCTCCGCCCAGAAGCCGCGGACCCCGGGAGCCGCCGCTCGCGCGCCCACAGGCCCCGAGGGGACCGGCGGCGGCACAGGCCAGGTACGCCGAGACGTAGCGGGCCCCAGGCCGAGCCCAACGTGGGAGCCGCCATGACACCGATGTCACGTGCCTTCGAGCCCCACGCCGGCCGCTGCGGTCACGCCAGGCCCCGCCCCCGGCCAATTCCCCCAACGCTTTTCTCAGTGGCGGGAAGGCGGACCTCCTGCATCGCTTGGAGAAGCGCCAGATGTCGCTGTGGTTCTCCGCAACGGGGTCGCCGCCAAGCTCTTGCAGCCTTCTGGGTTCTGGGAAAGCCCCGGGTAAATGCAGAAATCCAACCGATAGCGCCAGCCTCTCCCCATCCCTTACAGGTCCTTCTGAAGATCAATTTATCCTGCTAGGAGGATAGAGAATATTTAGACAGTTTACTAGCTATATAACTTTTAAATATTTACTGACATAGTATGTTGAGTCTCCTTTTGGTACTCTTAACCTCAGGCCCCTCAAATATTAGAGTTGAGTCCAGTCGCCGCGCCTGACTTGGTGCAAGCCAGCCGCTGCCTACATCTGGATCCCAGCTGACACCACCTGCACATTTGTCCAAACTGTTCGTGCTGCAGCCGGACAGGTTATTTCTCAAGTGTACATCTGATCATGCCCCTTCCCTGTTTGACAATCTTTACTTCGGGTTAGATAAAGCACCCCCCCGCCCCACCCCCCCCGCCACGATATAGCCTCTATTCACCTTTCAGTCTCAACTCTGGCTATTTGCAGTTGTGACTCCAGCTTAATGTTTCTTGTTAAACCCAAGAGACAGTACTCTGTTGTCTGGGCCTGAGAACTCCAGCCAATTCACCCTGCTTTGGTTTTGCTCCCTGAAACTGCCTCTCCAGCCTATGCAGGACTTCAGTCCTGTTCTTGCATAATGCTCTTTTCCCTCTGGGCTTCTGTTCTTTAGCTCTGGCAGACACACACTAGTATTTTCATATCAGTTTTAACCTGCTCCATTAAAAAAAAAATCACTCATCTTCATCTCCAGTTCTGATGTCCTGCCCAGCTGGACTTTTCCATCTGGACATCTTGCCATTATTTCAAAATCCACCTGTCTAAAAAACACATCAAATTAACTCCTTAATCCCTTCATTTATCTGGACAATGTCCCCCTTCTCACAACCAGGGGAAACACTTTGGAATCATCATTACCTCTTCCTCACCTGTGTGTTCAAGATGACCCACTACTGGTTCCACATGCCAGCCAGTAGCAAGAGTGAAAGGGTAAAGGGCAAGATGCCCTTCTCTTTAAGACAGGATGGAGTCCTTAACCATGTTTGTGCCATGGAATAGAGCAATATATGTGTTGCTTTAAGCATTAAATAATGAGATCTAGCAGTGAGTCTAACTTCAGATTTCACAGTGGTCATGACCATAAATAATAGGTTACATATCTGTAAAACTATTATGTGATATGAAAATGTGGCATGTGGCAAAATGATTGTAATCATTTTGGTGAGAAAATGATAATTGCTGCTAATATTGGGTTGGCCAAAAAGTCTGCATGGTTTTTTCCATAAAATAAAAAACACATTTTTCATTTTCACCAATAACTTTATTGATTTGGATATTTTGAGTATGTCCGCTATCTCCCGCATGGTATAACATTGATTGTTCTCAGTTAATGTCTCAGTTGGATCACTATCAACTTCAACTGGTCTACCCAATTGTGGAGCATCATCCAGAAAGAAATCTCCAGCAGGAAACTTCACAAACCACTTTTGACATGTTTGATCAGTCACAGCACATTCTCCATACACTGCACAAATCTTTTTTTGCATTTCAGTTGCCCTTTTACCTTTCATGAAATAATAAAGCATAATAGGATGAAAATGTTGCATCTTTTCTTCCATCTTCAATATTAAAATGGCTACACAAAAATTCACCAATTTTGATAATTTTTAAAAAATGCATGCTAATATAACAGCTATCACAATACAATCTAACAAAATTGTTTCAAATGAAGTTAAAGACAACTAAGTGCTACTAGAGTCATCTTATGGAAAAAAACAAATAAACTTTATGGCCAACCCAATACTTCATGCTTTGTTACCTATATTCATAGTTAAAGAAAATGCTACATTTTTGTTAGCAGTTACTGAAAATACAGATGTAAATTTTCTTCCCATTCAAGTTTACAGACCCCCTGAATTCTATCCACTGCTTCCGTGGCTTAAGGGGCTGCTGCTTTAAAGGTACAACCCAGAATTTGTACATAGCACAGTGGCTAGTAACCCATTGGTCAAAACTTACTCTTCTACGAGGGAAACTGGGAAATAGTCTTTATTCCAGGCAACCATGTACCCAGTTCTAGAAATCAGGGATCCTATTACCATTGAAAATAAGGAGAATGGATTTTGGGAAACCACTTAAAAAAAAAAGAATAGCTATGAAAGATTTTAATAAGGAATCTTAATCCAGATAATGGGGTCAGAGAAAGTATCTCTCAGAAAGTGATAGTTAAACTGAGATCTGAAATATTATTAATAGTAAACTATACCTATTATTGATTGAGTGCTTACCAGGTACTATGAATTCTTCTAACATAGAATTAATTCAGTCTCACAGCAGCCATATTGTTTAGGGTGACTGCTCAGGTTTTAGCACATAAAATCCTGCATCCCAGAAAACCCCTCAGACTGGGGCAAACTGGATGGCTGTCACTCTCTTGGTACTATTGCTGTCATCCCCATTTTACAGAAACAGAAACCAAGGCATGGAAAATCTAAGTAATTTGCCCAAAGTTACACGTTAGTAATTGACAGAGGCACATTTTACACCTCGGAAGCCGGCTCCGGAATTCAGCTGCTTCACTACTGTGTAGTCTGCTGGGGCTGCCGTAACAAAGTACCACAGACGAGGTGGCTTCAACAACAGTGAGAAATTATTTTCTCACAGTTCTGGAGGCTGGATAACAGAGATCAAAATGGAAACAGAATTGATTTCTTCCGAGGCCTCTCGCCTTGGCTTGTAGAGGGCCACCTTCTCCCTGCGTCCTCACACGCTCTTCCCTCCATGTGTGTCTGTGTCGTAGTGGATAAAGCCCGCCCCCCATTATGCCTTTAAAGACCCTATCTCTAAATAACACTCTGAGTCACTAGAGGTTAGGATTTCAACATAAAATTAGGAGGTAGGGGAGACACAACTCAGTCCATAACAAGAACTATATTCTGCTGCCAGGCAAAGAGTGAGAGTAGTGTTCCACAAGAGGAAACTGCATGTGCAAAAGCTGTGAATGAGTAAAGGGTTAGGCACATTCAAAGAACAGAGTGAAAACCTGTGTAGCTGGCACTTACTGAATGTGTAAGAGGGTTGGACCATGTGAGACTGGAGAGGTAAGCAGGGACGAAATTATGTGACATTTGTAGGCCAAGTTGAGATTTCAGGATTTTTTAAGTGCACTGGGAAGCCACTGGAGCAAGTAAAACAGTGGTTTGACATCACCCACTTAGATTCAAAAGACAACTCTGGTGTCTGTTTGGAGAATAGATTGGAAACAGGGAGAGGCAGGTTCAGAGGTTCTGACAGAGACTGGGCCAGGGTTGTTGGTGACTTGGACAAGTGCAGTAGCGGAGATGGAGAAGCTCATGTGGTTATCAGATGTGGTGAAGGTAGCACCAACAGAGCCTGCTGATTCACAGAAGGGTCAGGGAAAGGATGCCACCTTCTTCTTCGGCCTGTTAGAACCCTTTTTGTGCACGTGTCCACCTTCCTTCTTTAGAGGAGCCAGGCATCACCCTCAACTCCAGAAGCACATCTCAGCACGGTGTTCAGTGCTTAGATTGGTCCAGAGCAGTGCATGTTTCTCTGCTTTGACCAATGGCACTTGTGGCAAACTTCTCTATGGGGTTTCTGAGAAAGTTGCCTCACTAATAAAAGGAGATCAGAAGGTACAATACATCACTTATGAAATATTCTTGCCCAAAAAGTTTAACATAAATCTAGTTAAGCCTGTAAATCTAAAGTTTACAAGAAATACAAAGATAAGAACAAGATAAATGGCACCATGAGGAAACATATCAAAATAATTTGAAAGAAAAACTTAATGTCATAAGAAAATAGATTGGGGATAATCTAAATTAAAAGGTACTAAAGAAATATAAAACCAAATGTAATTTATGAAACTTGGTTGGTTTCTGGTTTGAAACAGATAAGCTAAAAACCACATTTTGGGGACAAGTGAGAAGTTTGGACTTGGACTGCACTAAGTAATATAAGGTAATTTTGCTCATTTTTTTATATTTTAAAAAATATTTTATTTGTTTTTAGAGAGAGGGGAAAGGGAGGGAGAAAGAGAAGGAGAGAAACATCCATGTGAAAGAACCACTGACTGGTTGCTTGTCGTACACACCCAGGCCACGCCTGGACCAGGGACCAAACCCCAACCCAGGCATGCACCCAGACCAAGGAATTGAACCAGCAACCTTTTGCTTTGCATGATGATGCACAACCTACTGAACCACACCGGTCAGGGCAAATTTTGTTAATTTTTTGTGTGATGATATTATGGTTCTACAGGAGACATCTTTATGCTTAGGAAATACAAGCTGTATTGTGTAGGATTCAAGTGTCATGATGTCTACAACTTACTTTCAAGTGATACAGGAAAAAAGATATGTATGATATACATGAGATACACATAGAGACATATATATATAACAGAGTGAAAGAGAGAGAGTAAGCAATTGCTGCATGTGGCAAAATGTTATCAATTGTTGAATCTAGATAGAGGGCCTATGGTTAGTCATTGCACCACTCTCAACTTTTCTGTGTATTTAATCTTTTTTGCAAAAGAAAGAGATAAGAGGGGCACAGAGACACAAGGAAGATGCCTACCTCTTCTTGCTCTAGAGGTTGTCATTTCTAAATGTGACGCCTATGACTGAAACAGCCATCTTGCATCCACAAGGGAGATGAGCCTAAGATTCAAGCCAAAATGCTGACATGACCCTGGGTTCCTGCTGACGTCAGTGAGTAGATGCCATTGGAACTGGATTAGTTCACGTAACAAAAAAAATTCTGTGAAATAATCTATATTCCTTACTTTTTAAGCCATTTTGCATTGAGCCATTAT